GCCGCGCCCCGCCTCGCCCCGCCGCGCCCCGCCGCGCCCCGCGACAACGGCCCCGGACCTCTCTCCGTACTTGTTAGGCTAGCTACCGAGTGAGAGGCTAATTGAAGCTCCGTCGCGCGTGCGCTGCGCCGGGCGCCTATCTTTTATTCAAAACGTTTGAGACAGTCGGAGTACGGTGCGTCATTTCCATTTAATAATCCGCCACGTGCGACGACATTCGTCTACTTTTTTTTTTCCATCCGCCCCCTTTCCCTCCCGCCACCGCTTTCCTTCCCCTATTTCGTGTTTATTCATTTTACGGGGCTTTTCGCCGCTGCCTCGCGGCTCGTTTGGCATAAATTGCCTCACGGTTTGAAATCGTTCGCCGGCTGTAATGAGATGGTCAGCTTTTGGACCCCGGGCCGTGTGTCGCGTTGCGCCGCGGGCCGCGGGGAAGATCGGGGGGCACGGCACGACCGTGCACCAGGACTCGGTCGTGTGGACAGGATGGGGAGGGGGGGGCTAACGTGAATGGAATCCCCGCCACGGGTGGGAGGTGAGGTGAGGGGCTGGGTGAGCAGGGGGGTGTCGAACCCCCTCGACACTCCAGACAGTCGCCCCCTCCTCCAGCCGGCCTTGCCCTTGCCCCCCCCCCCTCTCACTTTCTCCTCGTACGAGACGGGCCTACGGGCCCGGCGGCGCGACGTGGCTGGCTCTTTTCTTGTCTGGACGCGAGTCTCGGCTCGGCCCGGCCCGGTCAGTCGCGGTGGAGTCTCTGCTGTGCGCTGAAGTGAGTGACGTCCCCGCCGGCCCCGCCACGCGAACTAGTGTTTGTGTAGCCAGGGAAGTCCCCGCCCCCGCTCCACGGCCCTCTGGAGCAAAGCCGACCCCGTCCCGTGGCTGGACTGTGCTGTGTTGCGCGCAGAGTTTTGCAGTACTTGCCTTGGCAACAGCGTCCCGGTCCCTCTGTGTGTGTTTTGCCATTGGCTGGTGTACACTGCCAGGCGCGGGCCCGGTGCGCGGCGCGGCCTGTAGCTGGCTGGAGGCTCACTTTGCCCGTCCTTTCGACGGAACGGAAATGGTTTCTTTACATGCGTTTTGACCGTCTTGTCCTCGTTATGTGTTGCAGAGTAAGCAACCATGTCAGCTAAAGCCATCCGGGAAGCAACAGGGAAGGACCTCATCAACAAGAACCTGCCCGCCGGAACTGCTGCTGTGAAATGCAACTATGCAGCAATTGATGAGACCACAAACTGGGATGAACTTTTGTTGAAAGAGCCATGGCTGAAGACTCAGGTACATTTGGGTTTTACTACCCTGATTTTAATTCAGTTTTTTGTGAATCGCATGTGTTCTTAACTAGTGCTTTATTTTCATCTATGAATAGAAACTTGTCGCCAAGCCTGATCAGCTCATCAAGCGCCGTGGAAAGCTCGGTCTCATCACAGTCAACACAGACTTTGCTGGTGCAAAACAATGGATTTCTCAGCGAATGGGGAAGGACCAGCTGGTCGGAAAGGCCACTGGCAAGCTCCGTACCTTCATCATTGAACCCTTCATTCCTCACAAGCCTGTGAGTAATGTGATCTGTCAATAATAGTATTAAAATGGTTAAAGTCGTTATAATGTCATTACAATTGAGACTTATTCTTTAACTTTCAGGATGAAGAAGCGTACGTTTGCATCTACTCTCACCGCAACGCAGACACAATTCTCTTCCATCATGAAGGAGGAGTTGATATTGGTGACGTTGATGCCAAGGCCAGCCGATTGGAGGTTCCAGTTGGTGAACCTAATGCGGCTAGTGCGGCCAATATTACTGCCAAGCTTCTTACTAAGATCCCTGCTGCCAAACAACCGTGAGTTCCTATTTTACCTCTGTAAGCTTCTTATCAATTATCAATAATGTCTTAATCTAATTACTTTCTTTATTATTTATCAGAATGGTGGCAAAGTTCATTGAATCTCTATACAATCTGTACACCAACTTGTACTTCACTTACCTGGAAATTAACCCACTTGTCATCACTGCTGACAAAATTTACATCCTTGATCTTGCGGCCAAGCTTGATGCTACTGCAGATTTTATTTGCCGCTCAAAGTGGGGTGAAATTGACTACCCTCCTCCATTTGGACGTGACGCTTACCCAGAGGAAGCTTACATTTCTGATCTAGATGCCAAGAGTGGAGCTTCCCTGAAGGTATAGACACTGATTCTTTTGAGGGCCTCTGGATTCTGTGGAAGTATTTATCTAATCTAGTCTTATGTTCTTCTAGCTGACCATCCTGAACAAGAAGGGACGTATTTGGACCATGGTTGCTGGTGGTGGTGCCTCTGTTATCTACAGTGATGTGATCTGTGATTTGGGAGGTGCATCTGAGCTTGCTAACTATGGAGAGTACAGTGGTGCTCCATCAGAGCAGCAAACTTATGAGTATGCCAAGACTATTCTTTCTTTGATGACTCAAGAAAAGCACCCTGACGGCAAGGTATGATTAAATTTTTTCTGACAAGTATCTTTACACAAGTCTAGAAGAGTTATCACAAGTATTATCTTTAATCATGACAGGTCCTAATCATGGGTGGTGGAATCGCCAATTTTACCAATGTTGCTGCTACATTCAAGGGAATTGTCACTGCCCTTCTTGAGTTCCAACCCAAGTTGGTAGAGCACAAAATTTCCCTGTATGTGCGACGTGCAGGCCCCAACTATCAGGAAGGTTTGAGGTAATTATCTGTCTTGAATTCTAATAGGAAGCATTCCTTTTGGTATGTATTTTTAACTATATGCAAATTTTACGCTTGAATCAATTTAACAGGCGAATGCGTGAAGTTGGTCAGAATCTTGGCATTCCTCTGTTTGTGTTTGGTCCCGAAACTCATATGACCGCCATTGTCGGTATGGCTCTTGGAAAGACCCCAGTTCCCAAGCACTCAGAAGTTGAGTTCGCTACTGCCAACTTCTTGTTGCCTGGTGGCCAGGAGGTGAGTTATTTTAAGGGTTCCTGTTCAGATTTGTCTTGTTGCTTTGTCAAGTTTTCTCAATATTTTTTTTTTTTTTTTTTTCCCTCAGGATTCTCCTCACCCATCTAGGAGAGAGTCTTCTTCTACCGCTCCTCAGCTAGGCCGATTACCATCTCGTGATTTTAGTGGATCTGTTAATGTAGCTGCCGCTAAAGGTGATGCATTCAAGCCCATGGTTCACAATAAGACAAAGGCTATTATCTGGGGCATGCAGACCCGAGCTGTTCAGGTATTTGCAATAGTTTCGTTCTTCCATATTTATTACAAAATTTTCTTGCTAAACCTTTAATTATGTCTTTTGTTTTGTAGAGTGTTTTGGACTTTGATTTCGTCTGCAGTAGACCAGAGCCTAGTGTCGTGGCAATGGTGTATCCTTTCACTGGTGACCACAAGCAGAAGTTCTACTGGGGTCACAAGGAAATTCTTATCCCTGGTATGTCTCAATCACCCAATTATAATGATCATTATTTTATTAATGAAGAGTGTGATCAAATGATGTTCAAATTTACCCCAAATATTTATATCTAACCTTGTCTTTTTTAGTGTACAAAAAAATGAGTGATGCTGCTGCCAAACATCAAAGTGCGGATGTTCTTGTGAACTTTGCATCCTTGCGGTCTGCTTATGAGAGTACTGTTGAGGCAATGAGCTTCCCTCAGGTATATTTGAATATTTTCATTTAGTTCTATCCTTGAGTCTTACATTTTGTAATATCTACTTTAATCTTGTTTTTCTTTTAATTTTTTTCAGTTCAAAACTGTTGCCATCATTGCTGAGGGTATTCCTGAAAATCAGACCCGTCAGCTCATCAAGATTGCCAAGCAGAAGGGTGTGTCTATTATTGGCCCTGCTACAGTTGGTGGTATTAAACCAGGTTGTTTCAAAATTGGTAACACTGGTGGTATGATGGACAATATTCTTCACTCCAAGCTGTATCGCCCTGGAAGGTTAGTAGTTTTGGTTAGCAAATTTATTCTTTGTTTTCCTCAGTTTTGGTATCTCATGTTAACTCTCAATTTTATTTCAGTGTCGCATATGTTTCTCGGTCCGGTGGTATGTCAAACGAGCTGAATAATATTATTTCCAAGGCTACTGATGGTGTTTTTGAGGGTGTGGCTATTGGTGGTGACCGTTACCCTGGCACTACCTTCATGGATCACATCATGAGGTATCAAGCTGATCCTGCTGTCAAGATGATTGTTCTTCTGGGTGAAGTCGGTGGCACTGAAGAGTACGAAGTGTGTGAAGCTTTGAAATCAGGACGTATTTCTAAGCCCCTTGTGGCTTGGTGCATTGGTACTTGCGCTGGTATGTGCAATTCTTTTAATATCAATTTTGTCTTAAAAATACATCTAGCCAAAGGCTTTTTGCTTGAGAGTCTTATCATTTTTCAGGTATGTTTACTTCTGAGGTGCAGTTTGGCCATGCTGGCTCATGTGCCAACTCTGACCGGGAGACAGCAACAGCAAAGAACGATGCCCTCAAGCAGGCTGGAGCAGCTGTTCCCGTTTCCTTTGACACTCTGGGTGATGAGATTCACGAAGTTTATGCCCAGTTGGTGAATAATGGTACCATTGTGCCTGCACCTGAGCAGGCTGCCCCAACTGTTCCTATGGATTACTCATGGGCACGCGTAAGTGAACCATTAGATCACATCGATCTATCCAGTTTAAAACCTGGGTTGTTACTACTGTTTTTAATAATTTTCTACCTTCATGATTATTTACTTTGTTTTAATTCTAGGAACTTGGACTCATTCGAAAACCAGCTTCATTCATGACTAGTATTTGTGATGAGAGAGGACAGGAACTTCTGTATGCTGGCATGCCCATTAGTGATGTGAGTTTTGTTAAACCCTTCCTTGTTTTCTAGATAAATACTCAAACATATCATTTCATTCTTTTTTTTACAAATGTAAACATGGATCTTGTTTGAAAAATTTGATTGTGTTGCATCATAAATTTAATACAATAATTTATGATTTTCTTTATTTCAGGTATTGAAGCAAAACATGGGTATTGGTGGTGTTGTGTCCCTGTTGTGGTTCCAGAGAAGCCTTCCTCCCTATGTTTGCAAATTCTTTGAGATGTGTCTTATGGTAACCGCTGACCACGGACCTGCAGTGTCTGGTGCCCACAACACAATTGTCTGTGCTCGAGCTGGCAAAGATCTAGTTTCCTCATTAGTTTCTGGTCTTCTTACCATTGTAAGTATTGCTAGGAGTTGTCGTTCCTGTTATTTACTTAAATTAATAGTTTTCATCTAGAATAATAACTTTTGAGAAATATATAGTTATCATAAGATGTGAAGTAATCTACTTAGTTATCCACTGTCTTCTAATACCGGTATATTTTTTTGACAGGGTGATAGATTTGGTGGTGCATTGGATGGTGCTGCTAAACAGTTCAGTGAAGCGTATGACTCTGGTGCTATCCCCATGGAATTTGTCAATGACATGCGAAAGAAAGGAAAACTTATCATGGGTATCGGCCACAGGGTGAAATCAGTAAGTGCTAGTCAACTAGAATGTCATAGAAGATTCCTATGCACATACCCATTTTAATGAATCGCCGTTTTTTTCTTCTGCATTAGGTCAACAACCCTGACAAGCGAGTACAGATTATCAAGGAATTTGTCCTTGAGCACTTCCCAGCCACTCCCCTTCTTCACTACGCTCTTGAGGTAGAAAAGCTCACAACATCTAAGAAGCCCAACCTTATCTTAAACGTCGATGGTGTCATTGCTGTTTCATTTGTTGATCTTCTCCGTCATTCTGGATGTTTCTCACGGTAAGACACATCACATCACAATTATAGGACCTGAATCCCTTTTCCTCTAACTGATATTGCTAACTTAATTATATTTTATTCTTATAGGGAGGAAGCTCAGGAATATGTTGAGATGGGATCTATCAACAGCTTGTTTGTTCTTGGACGCAGCATTGGCTTCATTGGTAAGTTTTTTGTCTGCAATGTTGATGAAATGGAAAGTACTTTTGTTTGTCTTCAAAAGCACTAATGTCTACTTTGTATTTTCAGGTCACTACATGGACCAGAAGAGACTGAAGCAAGGCCTGTACCGTCACCCATGGGATGACATTTCTTACATTCTACCTGAGCAGTACAACTGAACATCTTAAAACTTAATAAGAATCTACCAGTACAAATACCATAAGGAGTGCATAGCTACCATTTTTATCAAAGAAACGTTGGCTTTAAATTTTATTTGTAACTTGGCACTTGTATTGCTTTGGTTGACAGTCAATATTAGTGACGAGTTGTTATATCAAGGACAAAAATGTTTATTGTAAGAATGAATGTAGCAGTTCTGTGTGTATTGCACTCTAAAATGCATCAGTGTATTTACAAGAAGTAAGTGCACCGTACCAAATGCATTTATGTTTGCTCCATGTTGGAGTGGTGTGATGAATCAGTCTCGGTTTGTTCCTAGCAAGCTGCAACATTTTGTGAACATACTATGGGAGGATTCATAATGCCATTGTTGTGTACATATGCACTACAGTTTTTTGTGTAGTGTAGTGATACTATTTAAAAGAGCTAATGTAGGGCGGGTGGTCATGAGAGAGTTGACTTCCACTTACTCAGCAAGTCAAATGGCTTGCTGTGATCTGTTTTTATTCATCTGTAAATAGGATTGTTAGTCTGTAATAGTGGGAGTGGACTCGTTTTTATAACTTGGTGTAAGGCTGTTAAAAGCACATGTCTGTGAACGAGTGACAAGTGTGGAGTAGCTCCCTTAGCCCTTTCATCTGCTCTCTTCCACACTTTCACAATAAAATAACTTATTAAAACATTTTATTTTCAATTTATTTTACTTTTCTTAAATCAAAGCTCATAAGAGAGCACAAATTCCTCCACAGTGGAACTTTTTCCATCAAGTATCCAAAAGGTATCTTACAATTATAACCATCCCATGAAGTATATCCAGACCTGAAAGAATATGATTGTTTTATGTAGGTTTAGTAATACATACCTAGTTTACAAAGGGATAAAATTAGCTTTCGGCTACAATTTTGCTGTGGGGAAATTAATACATATCATTGAAAGTCTAAATCCAGACACATATCAAAGAAAATTGTATTTTAATGTTAAGAGTAGAGTGAAAGTACAGCATGATATTAAAATAAAATTTCTACCTCCTTAGGGTGGTTGAATTAAAACAAACTACATGTCTTTGTGTTTCATCTAAAACCCAGGTTCACTTAGTTTCAGACTTACACTGTTTAATCAGTTGTCGACTTAAAATTTATCAAAAGACATTCTTTTGGCATATCACTCAGCCTTGGTATTCAACAAATCATTACAGGATTGAATTGCTGTGATGTATTTGTGCACATCGTCCAAACAGACCCATGTAATGATTGTTGGCTAAACTCTTCAACTTAAGTCAAATTTGATCAAAACGCGAACACCGCACCGCAGGGATCAGGCATTCCGTCGCCCACCTTAACGTCCCTGTTTTTAGACACTCAGTTGTACCGGGTGTCCGTAAGAATACGCGGCAGCTCGATGGGTTGCCTACGCACTAGCGTGCAGGCGCGGAGGCCGCGGGGGGAGCGGTGGAGGTGCGCACCATCCAGCGAATTCCGAACAGACTATAGAGGCGGAATTCGCTGGATGGTGCGCACCTCCACCGCTCCCCACGCGGCCTCCGCGCCTGCACGCTAGTGCGTAGGCAACCCATCGAGCTGCCGCGTATTCTTACGGACACCCGGTACGACTGCACTGATAAAACCACTACAATTCTGTATAACAGGGCCTTAAATGGCGAACCCACATGACTTTTTAAGTCGTTCCTAGTTTTTAATAGCAAATCGTCCATCATAGTTTATTATCCTGATCATTTCACTATTGTCACATGGTACTTCCCTGGCGTTGCCGCCTGGAGCTACACAACGATGCGCGGGACGGGAAGCATCCAGAGACATGGACTCTGGAAGCATCCCCAAAGGATCACAGTCTGGACAAGCAAAGCGGGATTTCCTACCTCAGGAAAGAATCACACCCCTCTCCTCCTGCTCCTCCTCCCCCGCCACCCCGCATTTCCCGCGCCTTCATGGAAACGTAAACAAACAGTCGGCGTTTCTGCCAAATACCGATAATACCTACTCATATAATTGATGATCATAGGATTTTAACCAGAATTTAAGAGTGGACATCGCCGCTCTTCGATATTAATCGCAAGGTATAGTGCTTGATTGTTTCCGGCCCGGAATATTGAATTGTTCCACTCCGGTTATTGTTGTAGGAGGTTAGTGTTCCCCTATGGCTCAAAGTTATTTCCACGCATAATTAAGTTGTAAGTTATTTTTTGAGGCCGAGTAAATGATGCCCGTGATCTAAATAACTTGGGTCACTGTCAGCTTTGTTGAAAAGGTGTGAATGGGTACACTCCTCCAATCGATGCAGTATGTTAAATACTGTTGTAGGTCACTTATTAGGCAAATGGGTGAACTG